CAGGGTGAAACTGAAAGGCGACTGAAACCCTAGACTCAAGCCCCTTGGCTTTGGCTGACTTTCCCTTCGGAAGCCCCAAAATCAGTGACCTCCATGGTTTCAATTGGGGGCGGAATTACAGCGTCTAGCTTGCGTCAGGTTTCATTGGGAGTCCCCTTGTTTGCACGAAAAAAAACTCAGAAGAAGATGGATCTCACTCATTGAGTGCATTGGCTAAAGAAAAACAAAACTCGCCTGCCACCAAAATAGTCTTCCCAGAAAGTATGAAGAGAAGGAACTCGGGAAGGAAGAGGGGAATATAAAAACAAATGAACAGCCGGGCCGTTGAGCGCAACGAGAAAACTCTGCCATGAAGGCGGCACAAAAGTGGAGTCATTCACAAACTCGACACAAAGAATCCTCAAGGAAACCGTTAGCTTCCCACCTGAGCCCAACAAAAGCTAGATACACCTATGCACAGCTCAACAGACCTCACTTGCGGAAACCACTTCCCTGCCGAGTGACGGTAGCCGGCAGAAACCTTTCTTCAGGTTGAAAGACTTTTCCGGCGAGCACAACTGCAGTTGAATTGGGACTTGTGCCGAACCATGCAGCGCCTGGAAATCGCTGTCCATCCACTCGTAGGGCACGTTCCATCCTCAGCACGTGATTTTCAAGTGGGGACCCCTGGGCGGACATCATCTTGGTGGGAACGTATGTCCGCCAACTTGTTTCAAGCGACTTGTTACAATCAAAAATCATAGCCATGCCTGTGTTTTCTCGAAACCCCGGTCACACGCTGACAAGCCTGCCAATTGCAGGACAAGGTTTGAACCAAATGGCTTCTGCAAATAGGTCCTTGGTCCTTTTGCAGGGTATCTTTTTGTAGGTTGGTTTCAGGCCTTTTTTGCAGGTTGATTTTTTACAGGTGCGTGGAACGGGCGCCATCCATTTTTTAGGTTCCGCATTTGAGTCATAGTCAACACCTGGTATTAAAAGGGCGGCCTCAACTATATATGTTTTGGCAGCCTGATACAAGCCCAAACGAAACCTTCCCCAGACCAGTAACCACGTATCTATAAAGGCACTACTCAAGGGCAATTGAGGCACTCTGACGCTCTGAGGCGCTGCTCAGTGGATTCTTGAAATACTGCGCATGCCATTTGGGATTGACTGTTATTCAGGTGTTAGGAAGAGTTATGGAGCCGTTATTGACAGCTAGTGAGGCGTTATCCAGCGTTATTGCGGTGTTGTTAAGAGTTGTCGAGGCGCCATTGAGGTGCTATGTGATACCTGCTCCGGCGTGTGTTGCCCGCCAATCTACTTGGGCATCCAGTTTAACAGTTTTCACGGTCAATTATTCAGGGCTACGATAACTATTTGAAGAACGCGGCTGCAGTTTCTGTGTACAGCTTATTCAGAAAGTCCCAGCTGCAACCACGGAATTTCCTCAATAACAAACCAATGTTGCTCAACCGAAACGGCTGATTTGAGGAGAAAGGGTTATTGAAGCCTGTTAATGCTTGTTAACCTTCAATAAACATACATCGGCACATATTGAAGCAAAATAAACCTTAATAAGCGTTTAAACAACAAACAAACAAGGGGTTTGAGGCTGGCTGTGACTTCTCAAAACTTTCACCCCCGCCCCGGAGGCTGGCGAAAACTTCCCAAGATTCCACTCCCTGAGCACCATGCTTTCCCAAAATGTGCTGGTCACTCTGAAATAGCTGAACCCAAAAGATGGGGTTCCCTTCAAAAACAAAACAACTTCTGAGTTTCCCTTGGGCTTCCTTTTGGTTCGCCTTTGGCTTTTCCCCTGGTTTTTCCCCGTTTTCCCCTGGTTTTCGCACCGGTCGGCATCGAAAAACTGTTGGGTCCCAGGCCGATGGGCCCGAACTTCCTGCGCTCCAAAATCGCCGCGTGGAAGAAGGCCAAGGAGTACCTCGGCTTCAGCTCGCCCGCTCGACGGATTCTTTTTGGGGGGGCTAGGTCCAGTAGAGAGGTTAGAATAAGGGTACCAGTTTTTTGTCGTGGTCTATTTTAGGGTACCCATTTTTTTCTGTAGTCTATTTTAGTAGGGGAACCCTCCCCCCAAAAAAGGGTAAAAGGGCACTATTAGGGGGGTGGCGACGGAATGCGACGGAACATGTGGGGAGCCCTGTTGCTTAGGGGAACCAAACGAAGGGAAAATGCGGGTGCTCAGAAAAATTGGAAGGCCTTGTGGGTTGCGAAACTTCTAAACTAAAGCACCATTTGCGGGGGTTCTATATTAGATGTGCTTTTGGGGATTTTCCCTGTTGAACTAGTTTTGAAGGGAAGCCAAAAGCAAAACCACCACCTGAGGGGCCCCCTCTCAGATAGGATGACTGCGGATTCCCAGTAAGGAACCCCCATTCCCAAGAAATGGATGCCACGAAGCGACGATGACAACAAAATCAGAAACGATGACAGCAGAAAAAAGAGGGGGGGGGGGGGGGGGAAACACTGCAACACCACCACAACAACAACAGCGGCAACAACACCAACAGGCATGGCGACAGAAATGACCAAAGGCATCTGCTTGTTCTCCGATGCGGAAACTGCTCCGAGTTCCCATGTTGCATCTTGGCATGCAGTCAACTCACTTGCCCAAAGACCTGGAAGTAGTATGTTGGGCCATGACCAAAGACTACAGCGGGAATTCTCTGTTGGTGCAAGTGAGTCTCAGGTGGTTTGGAAAATACTGCCAGCAGCTCGGAAAGCTAAGCGACAGAGGTTTGGCTGTCAGGATTTATCTATAGCCCCAGTCATGCAGCGGGGACTGAATACTCCTCATTGATGTTTGGTTCTAGCAACATCGCCTCACCAAAAGCACCACACAGCCAGGGTCAGATTGTCAATGTTGCATTTTGTTCTAAGTAACCCTGCCAACCTTTGTGCGAATTACGCTACTTCGACGACCGAAAATCGCGAGTCCAAGAAAACGTTCATGGGGCCTAAAGAATGGTCGCAAGCCAAAATCTGCAATCGAGAGTTTGCCGAAGGAACTTCCTCTTGTACCCCGCAAAAGGAACATGCACGAGGGTTCCTTATCGGTCCCGTATACAAGCTACGGCCACCATCTTCCGTTGGCCCAAATTGACTCCTCACTTCCAGAGTTCCCACTAACTTGTTTGGGTTGAACCGCTGTAGTGGCAAAAAAAACCATCCACTCGATCAGAAGTGAGTGAGTTATTCGCCTTTGGGTTGGACGTTTAGGGGCCGGAGTCTGTGGGTGCCCAGGTAGCTGCCACTAGATGCTTTCCTGAGCTTCGGCTCTTCGGCCGAGGGGTCAGACAAGCGGGCCAGTTGTTCAGCCGGCCTACCAACTGACGGTTTCTACTACCTATATGCATTTATATTTATAATATATATATATATATAAATATATATATATATGGTCACCCCCCCAATGATCTGCAAAGTGTATGAATATGTGTGTATCTGTAATATGTGTATATATATATACATAATACGTGTCTATAATAAGTGTGTAGATCTATATACCATGTGGGTGCATCTATAATTGCATACATAACAATATACATATATATATATATATATATATGGCTATGATTTTTTTAGGGGTCTGTAACGCGCGACGCGGCACGAATCTTGTTACGGAGGTCTGTAACGGAGGTCCTTGTTACGCAGGTCTGTAACGGGAAAAAATCCTGACAGGCAGAATCAGGAGCGCATCAATGCAAGCCAAGCTGCGGCAAAAAGCAGGGTCGCTCGCTGGCCCGGGCTGGGGTTGGGTCTGTAATGAGGTGTGTGACGGCTATGTAACCAGGTCTGTAACGAGGCAAAGCAAAGCGCAGTACGCAAAGCGCGCCTCCGCAGCACCAGCTATTCAACGCAGGCCAAGCTGCGGCAAAAAGGGGGGGCGCTGGCCCGGGCTAGGGTTGGGTCTGTAACGAGGTATGTAACGGCTGTGTAACGAGGTCTGTAACGAGGCAAAGCAAAGCGCAGTATGCAAAGCGCGCCTCCGCAGCACCAGCTATTCAACGCACCCAAGCTGCGGCGAAAAGAAGGGGCGCTGGCCAGGGCTGGGGTTGGGTCTGTAACGAGGTATGTAACGGCTGTGTAACGAGGTCTGTAACGAGGCAGCGCGCCTCCGCAGCACCAGCTATTCAACGCAAGCCAAGCTGCGGCAAAAAGGGGGGGCGCTGGCCCGGGCTGGGGTTCGGTCTGTAACGAGGTATGTAACGACTATGTAACGAGGTCTGTAACAAGGCAAAGCAAAGCGCAGCACGCAAAGCACGCCTCCGCAGCTCCAGCTTGATTGCAGCTATTCAACACAAGCCAGGCTGCGGCAAAAAGAGGGCAGTCATGTCACTGGCCCGGTTTGTTCATCTGAGGTGTGTAACGAGGGTGTGTAACGAGGGTGTGCCACGAGGGGTGTGTAACGAGGGGTGTGTAACGAGCCAGCTGGTCTTGTTACAGAGGTCTGTAACGAGGTCTGTAACGAATGTCCGCCGCGGCTCTGTTACAGACCCCTCAAAAAAAATCACTGCCATATATGTATTTACGTCACTCCTTGTTACACAGATGAGGTGGCCGGGCGCAGGCCGTGCTCTTCCGAACCCGATGTGAAACGATCTCCGAGCCCACACTTCTGTGGGCTCAAGCTGCGACCGAGAAACCTCGCCCCTGCAGTTGATTCGCAACCGGCGTTGGACTACTCACAAGTGCGCAAGTGTTGGCTTTAACAAATCAATCCACTCATTCGCGAACTAAGAAAACGACAAACTAGTCCGGTGGATCCTTCATGTTTGGTTGCTTTGCATAAAACTGAAGAGGCCTGGACAGTCTTAAGAAACAACTCAACAAAAACCACTCTAGGGGTTGAGTCCTTGTCCATTATTTCCAACCATCGTTCTTTTCAAAAACCGGCTGTTTCCCCCGGCTTGATGCTTTCCTGAAAAGAAGGATCCCTGGAAAGAATGGAAATGGAAGCTAGCCCTAGAACCGCGCACACAAAACCCACCGGGTTCGAATCATCTCAGGAAGCTTCCGGGGTGGTGAAGGCACTCAGGTCCAGAATTGCCTGAAGCACGAAGCGCCAACCCGCCGGGTGCCCTCCCCATTAAGGGCTGTCTGGAGGCTACCTGTTCACCTTGGTTCAACGAGAAACCAACCGGACATGTTTGGGTCCCCTCATTTTTGGGGGTCCGATTGTGACACCCCCGCCCCAAGAAACCACTTTTAAGGAGAAACCTAGAGGTAGTGTCACCATTCTGAAAATGATAAATTTAGGGAGCCCTGTTACATGTTCAGACAACTGCAGTTTGAACCACCTATTGGTCTCCTTTTGACAGGAGCGGGGGTCTTGTTTCAAAGCATTTTGCCGAATTCTGCCAAGCCCCACGGAACCCCTCAGGAACCTTGATGACCTTAGGAACCTTCAGAAAGCATGGGAAACACACACACACAATAGATTAGCTTCCAGGGAGCCCTGCAACCAAAGGGCCGGGAACTATCAAGCAAGCAAGCAATCAGGCAGGCAGCCAGGCTGGCAGGCAGGCTGGCAGGCATCGTCTTTTGTTTTTTGGAACTCGCTGCGGCGGACTCACAACGCAAGTTGCTTCTGCAGAGGCATCTCCTCTTGGAATCACACATCATGTTGAGGTTCCTTCTACTCGGGACCCAAGAGAGCAGCCACACGCAAGCGCAAGCAGTACTTCCATACAGGTGAAACTGTCACGGCATTGCTTCAAAACAACACGGGCAAAATTGGCTCCTGAAGAATGGGAACCAACAACACGGTCAACTGATGTAACGGAACGCTTAAGCGAATGTCAACGAGACCCGATCACTCTCCAACATCCCTCTGCATGAAGCATAAGTTACTCGTCCGGCAGCTGTGAGAGTAAGAGCCTGTTTTTATGGTTTGGCTGAGTTGAGAGCAAACCGCTGCCAGTGATGAATCAACACCACTATAGAGAAGGTAGCCAAGGGATTCTCAGCCCAATGGCAATGGCCATGGCAATGAACTAGAACATCTGATTGGCACGGCCGATGGATATGGACTCCGGCCTGGACCCCAAAAGAGGAGAGTGCTCACATCTTCGCCGCCCACGTCCCTGGCCTGAAACAGCACGCTAGGATGAGAAAACTAGAATGAGAAAATCGGTTGAGTCACTGTCCATGCTTCTCGGTGAAACAACCGAAAGGGGGGAAATGTAGGAAGTCCCGCAAACTCCCAAAGCATCCTGTCTGGGAAAGTGAAATGTTTGTCTGCCTGAAGTGCGGCAGCCTTCAAAGGAAGGAAACAAAATGTGAGGTGGACTCATTCAAGCTTCAAGGGCTCTATATTTGACACTCGTCCATTTCTGTTGGCGAAGAGAGGGAGCTGAATCTTCCCCGAAATAGAGCCTCACGCCAAGGGGTCTGCTTGGAGAAAGCAAGGGGGACGGGGGATTGACAGGCTTCCCTCCAACAGGAAGCTCGTGCCAAAGTGAGCCGAACAAGTGATGCTTATGCAAAAATAGGATTTGGAGGAGGCCCTTTCCATGGGCGCTTAACCAATTTCGGCAACCAACAGGATTTTGAAAACCCCCCGACCCAGTGGCCATGGAGAAAAAAAAGGGGTCCCACCCCACAGGCCTGGACGTTTCCCACAAATCCGACCGCCGCAAACCCCCAGGTCGGAAACCCCCACCGACACCACCGGTTCCCATAGGCTCTGGCGACCACCAAAACCGTGTGACCGGCGCCGTCAAAAAAAAAACTCTCCCATCGCGCCCGCGCCACATTGTATCCATCCATCTCCAGAAGTCCATCCATACGTCCATACATCCACACATCCATTTGATCCTGAGTGCCGGGCCCAAATGGCTTGGGAGCTGAGCAAAGGCCGCCGCAGCGCGCCTCAGGGCTGTGGGGTTCACCCATCCCCACTACGATGCCAGCTACCCTCCCACATGGAACCTGACAAAAGGTCACTTTTAAAAGGAAAATGGTCTTCCAGGACCCTGTCATGTTCCATGTTAGTTGGCGGGAGGGGACCTAAAAAGGTGCCGAGCCAGTTTCCAAGTTTTGAAAGGCTTCCATTGCGAAACGGGGAAATGAAAAAAGCAGGGCCAGCCATTCTGCTTTTGCTTGAGGGTTCCATTGGTACAATGGAACCACTGGCTACCCCTGAAACAGCGTGGTTTCGGAGAAGCAATGGAGGTCAAAGTACCTCCGGAGATTCTTGGGCCCGCGGGAAATCATATCCAGCTTCCCTCCAACTGATTTGGCTTGGCGCTTTCGAGGTTTGGGCTGGTTTCACTCTTACCCACTAGAACCAGGCGTTCAAATCCAAATCCACACCACCAATCCAAACTAAGGGGTACCTGACACATGTACGGTTGCCTTCTTTGTTGGGTGGTTCCTTTTGTTAGCATGGCGGCCGCTTCCTGTCGCGAGTCATATTCAATCCAGCTGGGCCCACGGCTCGAGTGCAGCAGCAGGACGCTAAGCCTGGTGTACTCGATCCACCTTGGCTGTGGATGGGGTGGTACTGTCGAAATGCAAATTTGTGTCACTATGCGTTCCCACAATGTCATGCAATAATACGCATATATATATATATATACATGTATATATATATGGTGGTTGATCTAAATCCCTTTGTCTCGAAACGGCCATTCTTCGCGAATAAAAAAGTTACTTTCGCGAATCTTTCGCGGATTCATCGCCGTGCTCTTTTCATTTCTCGAGTCAGAGAATCGGCTTTTAAGTGCCAGCGTTGTGAGCGAAATATCGATTTCCCAACTCCAGCTGTAAAGTCGCAACTTTTCATCACAGGGGTAGTACATGACGTGCGCCGGCTGGAAAGTCGCAGCTTTTCGTCCGCCGTGCAGCTCCAGCTTGAAGTCGCAGCTTTCCAGTACCAAGCTAGTATACTGACTAGGTCGGCGCTCAGACTATACCTCCCCTTGCAATCGAAGCCTGCGCTTTCGCGCGGGCTTTCGCGGATCTTTCGCGGAACTTTCGCGAAAAATCACCCATGTTTCAGCGCGGAAAGCCACCGACTAACACCCACAGACACACATACACAGGCTTGGAGCACTAACCAGCCAAGCAGGGTATCAAACTGTAGCCTCACCAGGCTTTATCAGCGCAACATCAACAAAGTGCTTTAATCAGAATAGAAGGAAGGCTCAGCAGAAAAGATGAACGGTTCCACATATCATTGATTTCCCAGATACAGTTGCGCAAAACTTTCGCGAGAAAAAAAGTTACTTTCGCAACTCCATCGCGAATCTTTCGCGGAGCTACCTCAACCAACACCGATGGTCACCGAATACTAAACTCCTTACAAGGACCTTTAGAACGACTCCCATATATATACATATTCTACGTTTATAGGTACACCTATGCCAATATATGTATATATATATTATAATATCTACGTGAATGTAGGTGTATCAATGCATGTGGTGTGTGTGTGTGTGGCAAGTACAATGAAGTAGGGATAATCCTCTTGCTAAAAACCACTGAGCGACCAGCAGTCTGTTCCTAGTCCATACTTTCCAATGGGCCACAAATGGGTATGTACCAAAACACACCCCCTTCCCCACAGAACACAGCTTTCATAAGTCTTGAAATAGCTGGCTAGTTAGTTTTGAAATGGTAGGGGTGCCACAACATGGTTGCTTAAGCCTCAGTTGCCCGAGGAAACCAAAACCCAAACAAATGTGTGCCAGCGGGCTGGGACTGATGAACTCTTCGGGTGGGTTTGGGCACCCACTTTCTTCGTGCTTGCCGAGAGGACCCCTTGAAACCCCTATGAGTTCGAGACTGAACAGCAAACAATCACAAACAAATCAAACACTCACTTGCCGAGTGGATGGCCCAGAAAAAGTCCAAACTTTATATTTACCACTGAAATGGTCTTCCCAAAAAGTTTAAAGTTCATGAACTCAGGAAGTGAGATCTATACATGAACAGTGCAGGGAAGCCTTGTTTTACAGTCTTTCGACCAACGTTTCGCTCACTTCAACGTACGCTGTGACTTGCGTGTCGACAGGGTGCAAGTAGCCGCCCAGTGGGAGCAAGATGTGCCACAGCCTTGGGAAGATGCGGGTGTCTACTGTGAAGATACCTGTTTTGGGAGATAAGTTTCCTCCATTTGCAAGTCCCTGAAAAACTATACATTTTTCCTGTAAGATAGACCCCCTTTAAAACCAACAGGGAAAAAACAGTTTTCTGATGCAAATGGAAGGTTTCGGAGCGCGATTCAGAGCAATCAAATCCAGCCCCCTTTCTGACTTTTTTGGTTCAGTTGTTCTGCTCATGTGGGGAAGATGTCAATGTGATTTGTTCTTTGATATCCTTTTTTGAGGGGTTTGGCAGGGGAACCAGAAGGACACCACCCGGCCCCGATTTGGAAGCATACTCATGAGGTGCTTCCCAAAAGTAGTTCTCCTGCTTCCGAGTATGGATCTTGTTTGTCGTGGCGAAACAAACCTGAGGCCAAGCAAATAGCTAGTTCTTTCAAAACGAGCGAGCGGTGACTTGTTCCCCTCTGCCCGGTCCAGGAGGTAGGACAGGATCCGAAGTATTCGCTCCGGTTAGAACATGACACTGCTTGGCTGCCTCACGTTTAGTCACCAGTAACTTCGCTGTGCTAAGCCTCTAGTCTTCCCAGCAAAGGGAAAACACGAGTTTCATCTCTTTGTCACCGAAGAATGACTGAAACCCAGGAGCAGTTCAGATTCGACTGAAACCCAAGAATATTCCAAATTCTCGAAGGGGGAAGCCCTAGAGTTTCGTCTTTCATGGAACATGGACCCGGGGAACAGGGCCTGCCAGAAATGGAGGAGACGCGCTGTGTTTGAAAGAGGGGGGTGCCCGAGTTGCAAATGTAAATCTAGTGCGCCAAGCAAGCTGACGACAGACCATAAAGCCACATTGACATGGCTTCTTTTGGTTTGCGTTTCCTGTGCTCAATGTCATCCACTTAAAAAGCTGACAAATAGACCTTGCTCACTTACCCCATGCCCCGCAAGCTGTCCGTCGTGCTGAGGCGCTGGCGTGTGGAAAATCTGATAGCGGCGGCCATTGCCTCCGCGGCTTCAACCGAATAGCATCTGAGCCTGCAGGGGATATTTCAAAATTGGGTACCTCCCAAAATGGCATCGGTTAGACCAAAACTTAGCCTCTATCTCTGTGGAGGTTAAAACCGGCCAATAGTCATGTAACAAACCACGTCACTCTTCATGTAAGTATTCATGTAAACAAAAACAGGCCTTAAAGAAACACGTAAAAGATCATGTAAACAATGTGTGCCTCAATGTTGGAAGCTGGAAGCTGCATCATTTGCCATGTAACAGGCCTGAACAGACAGAAAAGGCGCACAATCAGACAAGCCCATGGCAAAACATTGGCAAAAAGAAGGTAAGGCTCCAACGCGCCCCTCCCATCTCCATAACAAGCGCCCAAGGTGTTGATTGAATGATCTTTGTTAAATCCTTAGCAGCTACCGTGCGAATGTTAGGAGGCCAAACATCTTAGGTCTTAAACACGTGGTTGGTAAGCCTAAGCATGCGTGAGCAGAAGCAAGGGCAATTCCTGAGCATGCTGTTGCAATCTTCGGAATGGTTCCTAGGTACGCAGCTCCAATGTCTCCGAACGGTTCAGAACAGTTCAGGGTATGATGTTGCAATCCCTCCTGAACGGCTCAGCACGGTTCAGGGCATGCTGCTTGCAATTCTTCCTGAACGGCTCAGAACGGTTCAGGGTATGCTGCTGCCATGACTGTTGAACGGTTCAGAACGGTTCATAGTATGATGCTGCAATCCCTCCTGAACGGTTCAGAACAGTTCCTGGGAAGCTTGAGTGACGAACGGTTCACAACGGTTCAGAACGGTTCTGAACTATACGCCTGCTCTGTGCGCTGCTTGCTAGATGGGCTCCAGAACGGTTCAGAACGGTTCAGGGGCATGGGTTCCAATGCCTCCGGAACGGTTCAGAACGGTTCAGGGGCACGCGTTCCACTGCTTTCGGAACGGTTCAGAACGGTTCAGGGGCATGCAGTTTGGTTGCCACCGTTCCTCGGAACGGTTCGCGAGCACGCGGCTGGCGGTTCCTAGTCCTAGGTAAAAGGTCAGGCCGGCATCGGAACATCGAAAGCGATCCGAAATCTCAAAGCACAAAAAGGCAAAGACTTGTCTGAAATTTACGCGAAAATTTCCACAACCATTTACGCAGAAAAAGGCTGGCTGAACCGTTCTGAACCGTTCAGGGGACACATTATGAGCATGGAGGTCCGTCCGCAAGAACTTGCGTGCACATGTGACAGCATCGATCGCTCCTCTTTTCCGGCCTTTGCTCAACTGGGTTTCTGGAATCGGTTCTTGGATTCCCTGGGTCTTGCGGACAAACGAGGCGAAGCCGCGGCAAAGAGAAAACAACAAAAAACAACGCGCGACAGTACCACAACGCGGCAAGCAAAGCTGCAAGAAGGCAAGGCTTAAAATCGTCCTTTGCAACTCCTGACTGGTTTGGATCAGCGGCCACGCGGAGACAACCTCGTAGAGTCGTGTGTGCATGTGTGTTTGTGTGTGTGGGTGGTGTCTGTGTGTCTGTGCGCCAGGTGCATGTTAGGAATATAGACGTTAATCTTGATGTTCTTCAAGAGTGGCCCTCGCAAGGTCGCCCAACAAAAAGCTGACTAAGTCTTGATTGTTGGAAAGAGCCCTCAAAATATTCTTAATGTTGTTCACGCAGCTGACATAACCAATGGCCGGACATACCGGACGTTCTTTGACAATACGCAGTGTTCCTAGTCCTCGGTTCCTACAACATCTCCTTTCTCATGATCACTAAACACAAATTGACATGTATCTTGGTGGGGGTTCTGGCTGCCTATTAGCATGGCAACGCAACCCAAGCGCAAGCATGGGCGCACACGTTTTTGCGTCCGGCGAGCAAAAACTGTGGCTCGCAGCTACCAGTACGCATGAACATTCATGTCAAAGTTGTCGCGGCTCTTCCAATGGTTCATGACTCATGACGCTTTGCCTTCCTTCAGTGATATGAGCAGGTTAAATTCGCGAAGGGGAAGATTCTTGCCAATACACATCCCTGTCCATGAGGGACACTAAGTCCAGCTAACGCAGGGTCACTCAAGATCGGGCAAGCGAAAATGAATTACAACTAATTTACCTCACTATTTACCATATTATTTACGGACTCTTCCTGTTAAGGGCCAGGCCAACCAGAAAGCTTGATTTATTTACGTGATTGTTTACGCTTTTATTTTCGGGTACGGCGAAAACGACAGACCCCCCTATTTATAGAGGCTAAGTTTTGGTTTAAGGCATCGGCTTTCCCTTTGGCTTCCCCTACCAACCTCAAAACACCACTCTCAAAATCACACTCTTCCAGAGGTTGTCTTGGCCAACGCAGAAATCCTGGCGTCAAAAAACCAGAGGGGCGCCGGGTTTCTCTACTCAAAAGGGGTTGCCAACTCCTTGGCTTGCCAAATTCTCCAAATGCAACTCGAGCGAAATCCACAAGGAGTTTGTTGGCGATCCAATACGGGTGCGTCTGAAAATCGGGCGGCTTCCCTTCGGTTGCCTTTTAGACCTACCCAAAAAGCAAGTACCCTCAAGAAAAAGACAGCCCCTATAGGGAAACTGCTCCGAACCGCGCCCTGGGAAGACCAGAAGTCCAAAACCGAAAACCAGAAGCGGGACCCGACATGAAAATTACTCCGTCTAAACGAAAACACGGGTCAATAAAGGGACATCCTCAATTTTTAAGCTGCAAATTGTGGTTTGAAGGGAAAGCACAGGGACCGAAACGAATTTGGAGAACCCCTCAAAATGTGCACTTTAGATGTGACAGTTGTCTGAAATTCCTTGTTCCGGAAACCGCCATCTTCGCGAGAAAAACATAACTTTCGCGGACCCCATCGCGGAACTTTCGCAGGGCTGTTTTCAGAACATTCATCACAAAAGTAGTACACGCACTACACTTTCGCAGCCCCAGCTCGAAAGCCGCAGCTTTTCAATACGAAGTAGTGCAAAAATGGTGGTTGCCCGCGTGGTTTCCCTCATATCCAGGAACAAGCACACGCACACACACACAGACACAGACACAGACACAGACACAGACACAGACACAGACACACACACATCCTTTCAGGCACTTTAAGGATCTAAGCAGTTGCCGGATTCATTAGAAAAAGAAGCAGCAAAAACATTTGAAATGCCATTTGGGTGTCCCCTTTTTTAGCGGACCCCCCCAAAAAAACAACAACGGCGGTTTCTCTCTTGGTGTTCCTTCAAAACCGGCCACAAACAGGGGAACCTCCAAAAAGGCGCGGGGAAACGCTGGCCAGCCCGCCTGCCGCAAAGGCGCGGGCGCCGGCCTTGAAGCACAAGAGGCCCAGCCTGGCGACAGCGCGCTGGAAAACCCAAGGGGCCTGGCGCTTTGTCTTTGAGTTTTGTTGGACCCCAACATGAGCCCAAGAATCCCGAGCCCGTAACATGAGCCCAAAAATCTCAAGCCCATAATACGAGCCCAAAAATGCCCAAAGGGAGCGCAACATGAGCCCAGAAATCCCAGGGAGCCCGTACCAAGAGCCCAAAAATCCCCAATCCAATCCATGAAGGGTAGCCTGAGAGTAAGTCGATCCTGAAAGTGAGTAATGAGCGATGCAAAAAGAGGGATCCCTGTACTTCTTGTGTGTTCCTCAAAGTAGGGGATCCCTAAAAACTGGCATCTTCCTTTCAGAGGTACGGAAGTTGTATAGCTCTTATATAAACTGCCTTACAAGCTTGCACTTGCGGTACATCAACATCCGTACTCCAACAACCATACCTGGAAGTCGGAAGTGCCTCCTAAAGTAATATGTGTATACCACCCCGAAAAGGGTGCCTGGAAATGTCATTGAAGGGCTTGCAGGAAGTCCGATTTGGGTTTGTCTCAACCTCCGAAAAATCAGTGGTGGTTCCTCTTCCCCTTGAAACCGATCCCAAAAAGGGTCTCAACTTCAATTAAGGCACCAACTTTTGCAGGGATGTCTGCAAAGGAAACGGCTTCCTTTTGGTTTGCCCAACACGACACACCTTTTTTGCCCCCCCGAAACTCGCTCCGGCGTCAGCAACTCGGGTCTCGGGCGTCCAGGAGCAGCAGAGCACGCAGAGCTGCACGGCGTCCATGCTGCAGAAGGCCAGCCTCGTGGCATGATGTTACGTCCAACGGGGTCGGTGATGCGGCCCGATTTCAGGGGCGGTTGTTTTTTGGTCTTACAATCCAAAGGTGTTATTTGGTCGTTAGATCCATGCAACAAGCTCTCTTTCGGTCTCTGATTGAAACCAAGACCAACCCCAGGGTCTCCCTTTTGAACCACCTTTTTCTGAGTTCCCTCCAGGGGTTACCAGGGTCTGTTGAAAACAAGCAACCCCAGGCTCCCCTTTTTGTCCAAACCAATAGAAACATTGAGCCAAGAAAGTCATGTTTATCACCCCCTCCCCCCAAAAAAAAACAAAGGGCACCTGTTTAAGGAAACTCACCTAATTTGGCAATCATGATACGGGCGGCCGGGGGGGGGTCTTAAAGCCGCCCCAGCAATGGTACGCTACCCGGTCCAAGAAGGAGAGCCTAAACAAACACCCTCATGGGATCCCGAAACAGGGGCGTTCCTGGAGTTGGCAGGAACCAAAATTGGTGTCTGAAAAAGAAACTTAGTTCAAACTCTACTTGGTTGCTTCAGCTTACGGGGAAACATTGCAAAAAGAGCCTAAATAATTGGCATAGATCAACATCCCCCATTCTGTAAGGCTGTTGATTGCCATGACTTGATTGCCTTCAAGGGGATTTCATTGATCCTAAAACCAAGTGTTCAAGCATGGACTCGCTTCAAACTGGGCCCGGATTCATATGGGCAAAAAAGCACATCCACAAAGCCAACCCTCAAGAAAGGCAATGTGGTCGCCGGACTCTGAAGTCATGAACCGCCTTGCTATTGAGGGGCTCTCTTCTGAGTGATTGAGACCGAATGTGGTATGCATTAGGGGGTCAATGTTCAAGGGGTCGCAGTATCCCAAAAGAGGCGTTCACTTTTCGAGCAGAGGAATCTGCATCGAAAAGAGCACCTTCAACAAACAACCCGCCCACGACACAGGAATTAACCACTGTGGGCCATATTGTGCACCCTTCTCAAAAAGTGTACCGGGTACACCGTGAAAGCAAATCACAATTCCGCTTCTCTCGGTAAGGATGCAACCAACAAGGTGAAATTGCGCCCATGAGACAACCGATGCCCGATGTGTGGCTTCCAAAGATAGGGAAGCCAACACTGGAGTGGGCACCCATGTCCCAGTGCTCCGCAGACATGTTTTCTTTTTCTTCAGGGTAGTCTTGTTGGATGTTTCCAGGATCGATTTGGGCTTGTCTCAAAATAGAAAACAACAAAACATGGTTGGTTGCCTTTTTGGTCGCCCCTCAAACCAACCCAACAAGGGCACCCTCAATAAACCCTGTGGGCTGTGTGTTTCTCAAAATGTGTGACCCCCAAATTGGCGGTTAGTTTCCGTGTGGTTTCCATTAAACCCCTTTCGTGACACCAAACAAGAAGGCACCCCATGGTTCTTTCTGGCAAGCCGCTTCAGCGGCTGGCAGAGGGTCAAAAAGCTGGCGCAGCACCTGGCCACAAAGGCAATGTTACACCTGAAAACTTTGTGGTTTCCCACTCTTCCGGTGGCGCCCAGCTTGCTCACAATTGCTTTGAAGATTGGTTTGGCCATCCCTCAAGGACAGGGGGTTTAAACCGAGCCACCAATTGAGGGCAACCTGAGTAGGCCAGACAAATCAGCGATTCTCAGCCCAGGTATCCCAAACATCAATCCTACCCGAACCCTTTTGAACCCTCCCTGAACCTGAAACCTGCTTCTTTGAGTTCAGCTGCGCGGAAATTGGAAGAACCTGACCCTGGAGGTGGAGGGACCGCCATCTAGGCCATCGATTTGGGTCAGTTGACCCTTGTCGTTTGGGTGTGTTGCTTTTTAGGGACACCCCCCCAAAAAAAGGAACATTTTCCTTCTGGCTTCCATGTAAAACCGAAAAGGGCCGCCTCAAAAAGACTTTTGCGCTGAACGGCCTCCCCTTTGTCCAAAGGTTTCTAGACAGAGGAAGGTGGGGGGTTCTGCACTGGGGGGGGCTCCTACACCGAGGAGGGGGGGGGGAAGGGGGCTGCCTTTTATTTGTCCACTCTGCGTTTCTTTGCTTTATTCCACTAGTGGACAAGGCAAACCATGCTCACCGTTTCTCCGAAGCCTGTCCGCCATCTTCGCCGCTGGCGAGCGCCCGGCAAAGTAGGCGTCGTGCATGAAGGACAGGCCTGAGCTTCCCGCTTGGTGTTTTTAAGCTTGTTGGCTCGGAGGGTCGGGGATGGTATCTCCCATTTGCTCACAAGTGCCAGGATCAAATGCAAATCCGAACTACCAATCCAAATCCAAACTACCAATCCAAACCAGCGACCAGCGAGGATTGACTGACCGTCTCCTGAGTCTGCAGCCGGTGTCTTAGAGATAAGTGGGGGGTGTTCCTGTAAACATTTGTGTTTCTAAGGGTGTCTCCAACAAGCTGATGAGCCAAGTTGGATCGGTGATTATTACTCAGGGGGCTACCTTGGTAGTGGGGATTCCTTCCTTCCAGAGCTCTCCCCTGACAAGGGTGCCCAAAAGAACTGGACCAGTCAAGTATCGATGTCACTAGTTTGCGACGTCACCAATCAGCTTTCTTAGGGATCCATTTCTGATTTTCGGTCGATGAAGTATAAGTAAAAAATGCGCTCGGGGCTCACTGGCCTTCATTGGACTAGGGTAGGCACACTGATTCTGTAAGCATACTCAGTATGCCTTTGCGTGTTTGACGGTACCCTTGAGTTTGTTTTTGTTTTCTTTTAGGAGATTTGGGCTTTGTCTTTGGAGTAGAGGACTTGTTCCTGGTAAAGCCCAGCTGTTCAGTGATTCCCAGGGCTATGGGAAATGATCACGACTGTGACACAACGAAAAAGGCCTCCCAAAGACTAGCCCCCCATGTAAAAAGGGGGAGATTCCCTTGTACCACAGAAGCGGGAACAAACCCCGTGATTCTTGTTTGCTTGTTGGTACCCCCGCGCACCGTTGCCATCGGAACAAAGAAGGCCCCATCGCCCGCTGAGCGCCCATACAGCCCTGCAGCAGCAGCAGCGACGCCTCGAATCCGTCGAATCCGTGCGGCCCGGGGGTTTCGCGGAAGCCTCCTTTTGAACCCTCCCGAAAAGCTCCAAAGAACCCAGCTTCATTGGGCAGAGACCCGAAAGCTTGATGTTGGGGAACCATCATGCTCAGTTTTTCAGAGATAGTCAACCTTGAAATGTTTCAGGTATGCTCTGAGACCCTCGAAAGTGTTTTGTAGAAACCCTCATTTGGTTGATCTGCGGGAAGCCCCCTTTTGGGGAAGACCGTGGCACAGGGATAAACCATCGGTGCCTAAAAAGAAACCGAAGGAAACCAATGCATGTTTGATGTTTGTCTACCCCCGGGATTTGACATGATCTTTTAGAGTATCCTGGTTTTGCAAAGCAACACACCTACCCCAAAAACACGACTCAACTGGTAATTGGGGGAAAAACAACTAGCAGGGACTCGAGTGAAAGTTGGAAGTGAGTGAAACTACCCGCAGCAGGAGTTGTTAGACTCCCAAAGACCCCCACCTAAGGTGTTAGGGTCAATAGGCCGAATTCATGCGAATTAGAGAAAACAAGAATAGACTCGCAGCCGACTAAGCTTGCAACCAAACTGGCAGCCTTTGCGGTTGGGGGGTGATGACCCCCAGTGGAATCCATAGGCAAAAGAACAAAAAAACGCAAGACACGGCACCACGAAACGGGGTGGAGTAGGGCCAAAGCCCTGGCCTCAAGCTGCCAAGGGTAGGCAGCGCAGTGGCAGGTCACGTAGCCTATCCGCCTGGGCGCGGCCGTTCGCACAAAACCCTCCTGGGGCCAAGCGGGTCGCCTCAAGCTGACACTGTGAACATCGTTTACAAGCGGCCGAGAAACGGAGATTATTCAAAAAACGACAATAGTTGCCCAAACAGAACAAGCAGGGATGGTTGCCACCCACCGTTGGGCCATGCCCTGTGGATCCTAGGCAAGCCACTGTAGGTAACCAGCACAGTTCCTTCAGCTTTGAAGGGCGGTTCGTTTGGCTATTGTGGGGTGAACTTCAGTTGCGAACATCATGTTCAAGAAACAATTGTTGAGGGTGTTCCAACCAGTAATACTCATAGCCGCATGCTTGAACCAGGACTGCGTTTTCTCGTGGCCAGGTCATCCTGCCGAACACATTGAAGGTAGGGAGATAGGGGTCACTGGCCGATTCGGGTGGCAGGGCCCAACAGTCGTTGAGAGTTGAACAATGCGTTTCGGAAGCTTCGCCGTGCGAACCTCAGAAACAGTATCTGGCTGAGCTCACATCCATTTTGACACACACCCATGTGTCCAAACCTTCAACCCCACCCCCCCCCCCGGCTGATTCCTTGGTTTTGACATGTTGAGCTTTTGGATTCCTCGGCTAAGCTCCTGGCCACGCCATATCCGCACCGACAGCGCCTGAGAATCCGACCGAGGTGAAGAACACCATTTGCGCAGCGCCCGAAGCTCATTGACATTTGGTCCCATCAACTTGCATGGCAGTAAAGGGCTTTGTGAGGCTTCACTACAACCCCACTCAAGCCAGGTCACACCACTTGCGGGCGCTGCTTATTTGGCGAACCCCGGACCATCCAAGTTGCTTGGTAGACTTAGAGGCGCTGCTTATTTGGCGAACCCCGGACCATCCAAGTTGCTTGGTAGACTTAGAGTCGCTGCAACAAGTTGACTTGCTGGTTGAAACTTCTGCATGAGGCACGGTCAAAATGACTTGTTCCCCCATACAGGACATGACAACTCCCTAATTGTTGCTGATTACAAGGGACAAATAAGGAATCCCAAAAAGGAAGGCCAGACTTTAAAAGACCCGAAAACACCCCAATCAAAATCAACTCATGACCCTGGATTCATAAACCCGTCGCAATGGCGGACAGGGACACCCCCATACTTAGCATTCGATATTATTTTCCCAGATCATCCAATGGGGAGTCGCCACGGATTATTGCCCCCTTAATGTGGCCGTATTCAGGGCGTAAGGGGCTTCAGGGATGTTTCCTTTGCAAACTTCTCTGGGCTCATAACACTTGACAGCGTTCCCTAAAATGCCCCAAATCAACCAGGGATGCGGGGTCCCTGGAAGTATCAAAAGGGCCCAAATAATTTGCATGATGTTACTTTAAAACTAAATTGATTCAGTACCATAGTAGAAAAAGGTTAGTAATTAGCTAGCCCTTTGCATTACCCTCACAATTGCTTCCCAAAAACTCCTCGATTGGGGATCCTGGGTTCCTTCTAGTTTCTCGTTAAACATCACCTCTTCCAAAGGAAATTCATCTTGCAAGGCTCCAAAAGGTGATCTTTAGAACCACCACAAGGGAAATATGGGGTGCTGGGATCCTCTTCTTCCCGAACTTTGGCTTCCCAGCTGTAGCAAAAGCAGCAGGCCCGGAACCACCAGGCCAGGGTAGGCCCTCGCTCGATCGAACTGTTTAGTTCAGCGTGACAGCGCCAAAAATCGTCCGAGCCAAATCGGTGCGGGCTGCTGTTTGGGTGACCTTCTCAGTTTGGTTTGAAAGGGAAAAGCGGGACATCGCCCTCTCATAGGGCGGCCCTATCTATGCGGTCATGGTGGCGTTGTATGGGAACCCATTTGGGACCGATGGGAAACCATTTGGGACCCACTCAAAATTGCACATGTTGAATGGCCCCAAAAGAAAAGAAGATGGCAGAGTCCAACTTTTGGGAAACAATCGAACATAACATACATTAGAATCAAACACAACCAGGAGGAAATGCAACCTGGCTACCCCTAAGAATAGGCATGGTGACAATGAGACTGCGAAAAAGGGAGGAATTTGCACCTCTCAAGCCACCAGATGCCAGGCAAGGCACTATGTCGGATAGAAACTGCCAGGGCTTCAAAGGGATTTAGGGGCATGCGGGTTGGTTGTGATGTTTTTGGGTTCGAAAAACAACGGAAATCTGGGCCCGCATGGGCTTTTTTTGAGGAAGCCTTACTAGGGTTCAACCGTTGTCTAAATTCCGTGACAGGTCCATGGCTTCGACTTTGCAGGCCACAAGTTGTTTGACCATGGCGCCACTTCTTGGCCTCGCACCAGCAACCCAACTGTCAACCCCCTACCCTGGAAAATACCCCAAAACACAACATACCCAACTGCATTTGAAGGAACTGCAAAATGGGGTCGCCAGACAGGAGATGCCATCAAGATGTGGTTTGTTGGGTTCCAACTTCTTTCTCATTTGGTTTGGGGTGGGGCCGTCTCCACTCAATCTGTCAGATCCAGAAAGCGGTTTGGGTGTCTTTCTTGGATCCCCCAAATAGGTGGGGGTTGGCTTTGGTTTCAGTTGAAACGCAGAAAAAAAGGGGTGCCCTCAGAAAAAGGAGCAACCCATTGCGCGCTGCGAGGGAAATTTCGCGCCTCGGTCTTTCTCGGCGGGACATTTCTCCTGGGCGATGGACAGTCGATGGCTTGCCTGCTGAACATGGAGCCCGGGCTCGGACTCAGAGACCCTTGTGGAAAGAGGGAACCCTTTGGACTCCCTCAAGCACGTTTGCATTGGGCGGTAACAGGGGGAGCGTGCCACATTTTGTTTCGGGGAACCTCAACTTGGATGGTGTTCAACATGGAGAAAAACCAACGAGAGTCAAAGAAGAAAAGCTCGGGAGCATTCAGCAGCTTTGTCTCCTTCGGAGGGTTCTCCTCATCGAAGAGCCGCTCCTGGCATTGAATACAGCGATTGGATGCCCCGCCTTTTCAATGGGCCTGCTCTGTTTTCAATGCAGCCTTTTTGGGGCTGGCTGAAATGGAAACCAACCAGCCAACCCATGTTTTGGGTGGCCGTTAACTGTTTTGGCACGCACCCAGATCTTCTTCACTATTCGTATCCGCTCATATGTCGCCACGAAGGAAGCTCGTTTCACAAGAACCGCCGATACTTCCGTCATCTCAAAAGGGACAGGGGACCTCCAATTCTTTGAAAGTAACAGCCCAGGGCTCCTTATATGTTCCCTTTGGATCTCATCCCTAAGGAAAACATGTTCAAATGGCTCAAAGGCCACCTGTTGATGAGCAAGTCTACCTGCAAGACGCCTGCACCAAGCTTGCTCCCAAAACCCTGGCACATAATAGAACATTTGGCCGTAACAGGAAACCTGAGAAGACCAAATCGATTTATTGCCCGCTGAAATAGCGGGTTCAAGCAAGCTGTTTCCGGCAACCCTTCCCATCGAACCTACCAGAAGGTCTGGGAGCATTGGAGCGGTCCCTTGAGCTATAAAAGGCCCGTGCTTCACTTCAAACAACCAAAGGGTGACCTTAACACCAGCCCCAAAGGGGTCATAATGGGGCATATCGGCGTGTCTTAAAAAGGGGGACCCAAACTAATGGTGAGTGTTCTCTTGGTTTGCTTTTAACGCCACTCCAAACGGGGAATTGTACCCTCACAAGGAACCACACCCACACTGTCCTTGCCTGGAGCTCGTAGGGCCTCTAATTTGGGTTGTTCTTGTGGGGCGGGCCAAAGGTACCCGTTCTGGGATGCTTGTGTTGTGCTATGCTTTTGAGAAAGACAAAGTGGAAACCAAGCTGAAACCAGCCCAAAAGAGACAAACTGACATAGTGGACGTTCCCATGTTTACATACTTTGCGGGTACAGTAAATGGCATCGCTGGGTACGTTGACCCCGGATTAGACACGTCCTACAGTATTTGTAGAGAATTGTCCATCCAAGAGTGGTCTGAGTCCGCACGGAAAAGGGACCCCCCAACTATCAATCAACCAGAGGTTGACTAATCGGGGCTTCTATTCGTCTGAGGACAACCTATTGGCGACGCGTCAACCTACAACCCACCTCCAGCTCCAGCGCACGCATTCGGCGTGCGTTCTCGGCAACCACCGCTAGAGATGGCGCCGTCGGAGAGAAAAAAACACGGCCGGGCCGCGTTTGGGTGCGCAAGGAGCGCGCAAAGAAAAAATAAGGAAACCATTCCCATTTTGGTCCGATAACTATTTTAGTTGGATGGTTCAAGTTTGGTGAACCTGCCATTCGCAAGTAACAGTCATCATCCAGTGCGTTTTCACACCAAAACAAGTCTTTAGAATATCCAGAAGGTGGAGAGCCTAGTAGGCTTCAATCCAATGTCCAACATACGCCTTCCGGAAAAGCTGGTCCCTCTTGCAGGTGCAAGCGCTGCGGGTGCTGGGTGTAAAAGCTTCCTTTCGCCTCAGTCAGGCTGTGGCTACGGGCATCTGGCGCCGAAATTGGAAGGCAACCCGTGCCGGCTAGTTATCTGCATGTCCCCCTTTTCGAAAATGCGTCGTGGATGATGCCTGCGGGGGGGGGGGGGGGATTTAAATTATGCTGAATGGCAATGGGCTGAATTATGTCTTTGAGCCGAGAGGCAGGGGCCAAGGCACTGCAAGCTGCATGGAAAGCAATCTGGCCTCGAGAACCTCAACCATATGAGGGAAAAATAGACATCACCCAGGCCATTTTGGCTTCCTTTTGTGGATGTCGAGACAATATCTGGCCGAACTGCTATGATGTTCAATCTACAAATGCGGATGCGGAATCCTATCAGTGACTGTCAAGGATTTCAGGCTTCACCCTAAGTGTGCTCGTCATACTTTGTGCGGACACCCATCTCAGTTTGCCTCCTAGGAAGGATTTTAGCACTGGGGAAAAAAAACGGAATAATTCGAGGGCCATGAGATTTCATGGCACATGGAAGCTGCCAAGTCTGAACAAGGAGTTGGGAAAATCGAGTCTCACAACTTGCTGGTTGAAAGGAACAAACACATGCATATGTCTGGGTCAAATGAGACCCCCTGCAAAACAAAGCAAGGTTTGCTGGTTGGAAGGAGAAATGCCGGAAATGCCATAAGATAAATTTGGTCATGCGCCCAGACAGGCTCAGCAATGCCGTGCTGGACCTGATCCCCTTGCACTGAGCCCCGAGTCTCCGTCTGCTGGCGGGGAAAACGGGGAAACCGCGCAGCTCGTGGGGTCTTGGGGTGCTTTGCCACCCAACAGCCGAGGCTTTTTGCAAGGAAGGAGCCCCTTTGTCTTCCGATGGACGGGCAGCTTGGCTTTCGCGGGCCGGAAATCACCAGAAAGGAACAGAACAGCGCCACCAGAACATCACCTTAACGAAACCTCGACCCAAAAGCCTGACGTTCAGAACGAAAAGATGTGGATCCGCATTGGGGCTGGGAATCGCTCGCTCCAAGCGGAGCCGATGATACACAGCAGCAGGGGTCAGACTGAGCGCGGCGCAACAGCTTCTTGTACTCGCGAGACTTGCTGCATCCTTCATAGATCTCTTCAGTGATGTCCTTGCAACCCCAGCTGCATAGGATCCCTCCCCCCGTTCATCCAAACAAAGTGCAACCCTGAGTTGCAGTCATGTTGAGGCAAAGTTCGACCCTAACTTATAGTTGTGGCCTCGCGACAGGAACAAACCACAGTCACAAAGCCTGTGAAACCCTTCAACTACTCAAAACCATTGAGGCTCAGGCTCCCTATATTTCCCCTTTAACCATCCCTCCCCGGCAAACAGGTGATCTTAAAACCACCCAAGGCCTAGGGAGAAGATAAACTGGACCCCGGTTTCAAACCCCTGCCCCCCTCCCCCCGTGTGGGCTCCTGGAAGCTCCTGGAGAGGTTCGCGCGCAGGCCCTTGGGCGGCTCGTTGGTGATCTTGATGCCTGCCGAAATGCCAAAACTTCAGCCTGGGGCTGGGGGGCTGGGGGGGGAGGGGGCTGGGGGGCTTGGGCTCTCCGGAATACATCCAGGGACCAAATAAAGATCCTCTACTACCACAAGGTATCGGTTCCCTTCGCGGAAAAGATACCCCAGTGGGCCTCGGGGGGGCGGGGTTAGGGGGGGGTAAGCAAATTCCACACTTCCAAAGTTCTGAAACAAGTCTTGGATCCCAAAGTACAGGAGCCATGGACTATGGCTCGTTTTCAGATCGGAATCGATGAATCGATCACCTGCTTGGCCAGCTTCAATGACCTTGGATGTTCAAAGGACTTGAGTTGATTTTTTGACCATGGTGGTAAGGGCACTAGCCCCGGCGAACTCAGTTGGGTGTGATGGTTGCATTTGGGAGCCCTTTGCTGGACATCAGGATTCGGTGATTAATCTCCACCAACAACCTTTGAGGGATTCCCTATGTAAATCCGATGTAGGCCCTCCAATCCCAATATGGGCTGCTGGCACCTACCAGTCTCTAACAAGGCCTATCGCATTCTGGACTCCGGGCGAGGATTTCATTGGGGGGCCCAAAAAACCACAAGATCTACTCCCCTGCAAGCTAACATGTATATTTATAAGCCAAACATGTGCTTTTCTCGAAAGAAGATCCCTTGACACATGAGAGTTGGTTGGGCTCCATGTAAAATCCGTAGATCCATGGCCAGCCATCCAGCGCGGCAAGGCGCCTCCCTGCAGCACCGGCACCGGGAAAGTGGTGGAGGGCATGGAGGTGAGCCACAGCCGGTACCTCACACCACGAGCTGTTCTCAACAAAATCTAGGTCCTCTCTACTGCCTCCAGTAGAGAGGTTAGAATAAGGGTACCCGTTTTTGCTGTAGTCTATTTTGGTAGGGGAACCCTCCACCCCCAAAAATGGTAAAAGGGCACTACTGGGGGACCCAGAAATGATCGGTGGCTTTGCTTTTGGGTCCTAACTGTCATCCTGTTCTTTTTGGTTTCCTCTTGTCATCCCAGGGGACCGATTCCTATGTTGAGAACTCCCAAATCAACACCGTCTCTCTTCCCTATTTTTTTTTCGAGGGGGGGGGGGGAACATGTTCCTCTTTTTTTTAGGGGGGGAATATGTTTCTGGGGCCAGACACTTCGACTGGTGAGAAGCCGCAACCTGTCAAAGGCAGGGCAAACCAGGTAAGGCACAAGGGGTAACCCCCGAAAGTGGCTTGCTGTCGCTTTGGATAAACCCTTTCCCCACCCCCTCCCCGAACCAAAAAAAAACACACGCCCTCGGCACATGTCATCGATGCTGTCGGGCTCCTGCATCTCCTGGCGGTGACAAACCGGACGGACCCGCCCCGGCCAATCCGAAGGAAGCAAGGGACAATGCTGGCCTTTTGGGCGTCGTTTTCAGGGGACCACCCCCCCAAAAAAAACAACAACTAAAGCTTAAAATATGGTGGTGTTCCTCGTGGTTCCCCTGTACAACCACATAAAAGGGCACCCTCAAAAAAGGACCCCCTTTTCTGACCACTTTACGACCAATATGAATTGCCAATATCGACAAAAAAAACATCAAAGCTGAAAAACCCCTTTGGTGAGCTATGGACCGAAATAAAATCTAACGCATGGTTGGCCAATCCGATCTTCCATCCCAGGACAATGACTGGAAAGGGGACCGGCTTGAACCTGAACGGCAAGTTACGCAGGGCGCGGTTTGGCCAGTTCAACGGGTTCGCTCATACTCGCTTCCCGAGTGGATGGTCCAACAACAGTCTGAACTTTTCGTTGGCCGCTACAATGGTCTTCCCAAAAAGTGAACAAAGTTGAGGAACTCGGGAAGTGAGTATACATGGGTTCCAACCCTTTGCACCTCCTGCGGTATGGAAAACCCAAATTGTTTGCAGGTCTCTCCGCGGGTTGGTCACACCAAAGAGCAATGAGGAAACCAATCTGAAACACTTGCTCCAAAGACCCATGCGCACGGGTCTTTAAAAAGATGGATCCTTTGTATATAAAGGGGAAACCAAAGAAAAGTTGACCAATGTCCTGTCCGTGGGCTGTGTTGTTCCTTTAGAGGCTCCTTGTGTTCAACCTTTGGCCAGAGAAACTGACAACGAAAAACAGGGCTTCCTTCAAGATCCCTAAATACTACATGTTGGTCAAATCGAAAACCTCCTGTACTAGCTGTTTCAATTGGATGTCTTTATGTACCAGGTTATTTTTATGCGCATCCTTTTAGGGCCCCTGCAAAGCCCCACTTGCCATAGCCATGAACCAGCCAGGTGAAGCAATTACATCCCTTGGCCACTGGCAACTTGAACCCTGTTGGTTGCTTGGGGTTCAGATCCAAATCCAAACCACCAAGCCAAACAACCAACTCATCTCGGGGTATCCTTCTTTCTAGAAAACCTCCGGAATGCCAGGGCAAACGGCTGGTTTTGAAAAGAACGATGGTGGAAAAGAATGGACAAGGAATCAACCCCTAGAACTAAGGGTTGCCTGAAATTTTGTCATGTCCGGACAGGTGCCTTGCCCGGAACTGGATTCAGATGGAAAAACTGTTCCAAACGCAGCCACTTAGAGTATCCAATCCTCAGGTTTCTGGATTACACTTGGTTATTGAGCGTAAATGGCTGGAATAATTCTAAACCACCGGGCTCAAAACCGCCAATGAGAGGGAAGCTGACCACAAGCATCGTGATAAAAACAGCCGCAGTTCCCCCAGGAAAGACCCGTGGCCAAAACCTCAGTTGTGGTAGCATTGCAAGTGGGGTGCGCCAAAAGAAAGGACTTTCGGGCACCCATCGCCGGACGCCATCAGCGGAGAAATCGCTCCTGGATCCGCTCCAAGGTTGGCATCCAACTGGCCGCCAAGTGGCAGTTCTGCAAACAGACCCAGTCCCCTGCGAGTCGTGAGTCGCGAGCGGAGCGGCGACTCGATCACCCCCGCGACAAACCCCGCGTGTTGGGTTCTAGCAATCTTTCTGGTATTCCCCGCACGCCCGGCAAGGGGCCGTAGTTTTGGCAACCCCCCCGCCGGGGGGGGGGGGGGTCAGATCCAAATCTGGGGGTTGTATTAAACTTTGATTTGTGGTTCAACCATGGTTCTAACGGTTTATGTACAACCACCACAAGACCAGGTAGAACCACCCACTCTGAACAAGGGGCGCCTTGAGATACCCCCCAGTCTTCAGAAAGCTAAGAAGCTCATTCATATTTTTGTGGGGCGGGGAGGGGGGACTAAAGAGCGCATCTCGAACCAGGCGACTTTTTAGGAGTCATCAAAAAAGGTTTCAAGCACTTTCAAGCGGCCTGAGCTTGTCCTTTGAGGGGCCCGGGGCTGTGTACAAGTCATGCCCACCAAGCACAAGTTGGTTTGCGGTCGAATTTCCCTTGCCGGGTTTCTTGGAAAACCCCGAAGCCGGAAACCCTGCGCCTGACTCCTGGCCCATCTTGATGAGGTTCTCCGCCTGTCCCGGCAATGTCCGGGCGAATCCCCGCATGATTGCCAAGGCAAAGCTGGAGCAAGGTCAGCCAACCGGCCAAAACAAAAAGTGCACCAGAGCACCTAAACTGGAAGAACCACAAGGAGATTCTACTGAAAGTCAGCCAAAAGCCTCAAAAGCCTGGGGGTATCTCGCTGATTTCCTGCAGAATATCCGGCTGGTCCCTTGTGGCCAGCTTGGAATCAAAGACTAAGATTGTCTGACTCTTTCCATATTTAGTCCTCCCTACAATATGTGGGGGGGGGGGGGGAGTAACATATTTTAGAGGACCCCAGCCTTCCTCAACTTGACCGCTATTTCCCACCCACAAAGTGAATAACATTTGCAGATACTGGCTATCACATGAACATAGCCCCTACCGCAGGTCATTTAACAAGCCATGGGACAGCCGGCAAAGAGGTCCCGGAACTTGTTTTGTCCAAAACGTGTTAACTTTTGCTGGAGGGCTAGAAGTTAAAGCTTAAAGCTTAAAGGATTTTGTCGGCCCATAGTCGCATCAGTAGGCTAGTTAGCTCATCGTACGCGAAGTTGAAGATGATACTCCCCAGTTGTTTTTCAACATAGAACCCCAAAAACCTACTAGGTTAATTAGATAGATCATCTTACCGTCTTTTTCACAGAACCCCAACCTCCCCAAATGTTTTTCATAGAACCCCAACAAACCCCCTACCATCTTTCACCGATCCTCGCTTAGGGATCCTGGACCGACCCCTTTTGGCGGGGTTCCTAACCCGGACTCATTCCGCGCCTTGGTGCCCTGGCCCTGGCCCAAAGAGATGAAGTGCAGCCGCTCCTGCGCGGCGAACTCGTGTGAAGATGGGAAGCCGTTTGTCCCGTTGTTCTTTCGTTTTGTTGGTTAGTGTGTGTTTTGGTGGTTTTTGTTGTTGTTGTGTTGCTCGGTGGTGTTGCATAGTTTTGGTTGTTGTGTGTGTTTTGGTGTTGTTTTGTTGTTTGTATTGTGTGTGTTGCTTGTTGGTGTTGTTTATTGAGTTGTTGTCGATTTATTGCTACTATTATTATTAGCATTATTACTAGTTTTATTATTATTCTGTTTGTTGCTTGCTGGTGTTGCTTTTTTTGGTTGTTGTTTGTCTTTGGTGTTTTGTGTTGCTGTTTGTATTATGTGTGTTGCTTGTTGGTGTTGTTTTTTGTGTGTTGTGTGTTGTTGGTGTTTGTTGCTTTTTGCTGCTTGTATTGTGTTTGTTGCTAGTTGGTTGTTTTTTGTGTGGTGTTTTTTTGATTGTATTATGTGTGTGTGTGTGTGTTGCTTGGTGTTGTTTTTCGTGTATTGTGTGTTTTTGGTGAACTTTTGTTCTTTGTATTGTGTGTGTTGATTGTTGTTGTTTTTTGTGTGCTGTGTGTTTGTGGTGTTCATTGTTTTTGTTGTTTGTATTCTTGGTGTGTTGCTTGTTGGTGTTGTTTTTGTGTGCTGTGTGTTTTGGTGTTTTTTTTGCAATTCGTTGTTTGTATTGTGTGTGTTGCTTGTTGGTGTTGCTTTTTTGCGTGTTGTGTGTGTTTGGTGTTTTTCGTTTCTTGTTGTTTGTATTGTGTGTGTCTTGTTGGCGCTGATTTTTGTGTGTTGTGTGTTTTTGCTGTTGTTCGTTTTTGTTGTTTGTATTGTGCGTGTTGCTTGTTGGTGTTGCTTTTTTTGTGTGTTGTGCGTTTGGATTGTTTTGCTGTTTGTATTGTGTGTGTGTTGCTTGTTGGTGTTGTTTGTTTTTGTGCGGTGTGTGCTTTCGGTGATTTTTTGTCCTTTTAATTGTTGTTTGTATTGTGTGTTTTGCATGGTGTTTTGTTCTTTGTGTGTTATGTGGTTTTGCAGTGTTTGTTGCTTGTGTTGTGTCTGTTGCTTGTTGGTGTTGTTTTTTGTTTTGCGTCTTGTGTGGTTTTGGTGATTCTTGTTGTTGGTTATTTGTATTGTGTGGGTTGCTTGTCTTTTTTTGTGTGTGCTGTGCTTTTGGTGAACTTTCTGTGTTGTTGTTCTTTTGTGTGCATTGTGTTTTGGTGTTCTTTGGTTTTGTTGTTTGTATTGTGTGTGTGTTTCTTGTTAGTGTTGTGTTTGTGTGCTGTGTGTTTTTGGTGTTTGTTGTTTTTTTGTTGTGTGTATTGTGTGTGTTGCTTGTTGGTGTGATTTTTGTGTGTTATGTGTTTTCGGTGTGTTTTTGTACTGTGTGTGTTGCTTGTTGGTGTTGTTTTTGTGTGTTGTGTGTGTTTGGTTTTTTGTTTGTTTGTTTGTTGCTTGTATCGTGTGTGCTGCTTGTTGGTGTTGGTTTTGTGTGTTGTGTTTTTTGGTGTTTTTAGTTTTTTGTTGATTGTATTGTTTGTGTTGCGTGTTGGTGTTGTTTTTTGTTTGTTGTGTGTTTTTGGTGCTTTTTGTTGTTTGTATTGTGTGTGTTGCTTGTTGGTGTTGTCTTTTGTGCGTTGTGCGCTGTTGATGTTTTTTGTTGGTGTTTTTTTGTGTGTGTGTGTGTGTTGTGTGTGTGTTTCTTGTTAGTGTTGTTTTTGTGTGTTGTGTGTTTTTGGTGAACTTTTTTTGTTGTTTGTATTGTGTGTGTTGCTTGTTGTTGTTTTTGTGTTGTGTTTTGTGTGTTGTGTTCTTTTTTTGTTTTTAGTTTGTTGTTGTTTGCATTGTGTGTGTGTTGGTTGTTGGTGTTGTTTTTTGTGTCTTGTGTATTATTGGTGCATTTCTTGTCGTTTGTTGTTTGTATTGCGTGTGTGTTGCTTGTTGGTGTTGTTTTTTGTGCGTTGTGATTTTGGTGTGTTGTTTGTATTGTGTGTGTTGCTTGTTGGTGTTAACTTTTTGTGTGTTGTGCGTTTTTGGTGACTTTGTGTTGTTGTATTGTGTGTGTGTTGATTGTTGGTGTTGTGTTTGTGTGTTGTGTGTTATTGGTATTTTTGGGTTTGTTGGTTGTATTGTGTCTGTTGCTTGATTGTTTTTTTTGATGTGTGGCGTTTTTTTCCCCCAAAAGCATCTCTGATGCTTGGGTTCTGCTTTAGGTTTTCTCTTAAGGTGCCTGGGAGCGATACAAGCTGTGACGACGGAGATAAGAAGGGATTTCCATTTCGTTGTGCTGCAGACCGGGCGTGCGATGCTGGCTGGGGGTGCAGACCGGGCGCACGAGGCTGGCTGGGGGTAAGGCGGTGTGGTGCAGACTGGGTGGGCGAGACTGGCGCGGTGGACGCTCGTGACAAGCGGAGACCGCCCCCGAGCGAGACGGGCGCGGGACGCTCGTGACAGGCCGAAACCGCCCCCGAGCAAGACTGGCGCGGTGGACGCTCGTGAGGAAACCGCCCGCGAGCGAGACTGGCGCGGTGGACGCTTGTGACAAGCGGAAACCGCCCCCGAGCGAGACGGGCAGTTTCCGCATGTCACAAGCGTCCATTGCGCCAGTCTCGCTCGCGGGCGGTTTCCCCATGTCACGAGCGTCCACCGCGCCAGTCGTCGCTTGCGGGCGGTTTCCGCCTGTCACGAGCGTCCACAGCGCCAGTCAGCGAGACTGGCGCGGTGGACGCTCGTGACAGGCCGAAACCGCCCCCGAGCGAGACTGGCGCGGGGGACGCTCGTGACATGGGGAAACCGCCCGCGAGCGAGACTGGCGCGGTGGACGCTCGTGACAGCAGAAACCGCCGCGAGCGAGACGGGCGCGGGGGACGCTCGTGACAGGCCGAAACCGCCCCGAGCGAGACGGGCGCGGGGGACGCTCGTGACAGGCCGAAACCGCCCCCGAGCGAGACGGGCGCGGGGGACGCTCGTGAATGGCCGAAACCGCCCCCGAGCGAAACCGCCCTCGAGCAAGACTGGCGCAGTGGACGCTCGTGACAAGCGCAAACCGCCCCCGAGCGAGACGGGCGCGGGGGACGCTCGTGACAGGCCGAAACCGCCCCCGAGCGAGACGGACGCGGGGGACGCTCGTGACAGGCCGAAACCGCTTCCGAGCGAGACTGGCGCGGCGGCGCTCGTGACAGGCGGAAACCGCCCTCGAGCGAGACTGGCGCGGTGGACGCTCGTGACATGGGGAAACGTGACAAGCGGAAACCGCCCCCGAGCGAGACGGGCGCGGGGGACACTCGTGACAGGCCAAAACCGCCCCCGAGCGAGACGGGCGGGGGACGCTCGTGACAGGCCGAAACTGCCCTCGAGCGAGACTGGCACGGTGGACGCTCGTGACAAGCGGAAACCGCCCTCGAGCGAGAAGGGCGCGGGGGACGCTCGTGACAGGCCGAAACCGCCCCCGAGCGAGACGGGCGCGGGGGGACGCTCGTGACAGGCCGAAACCGCCCCCGAGACGGGCGCGGGGGACGCTCGTGACAGGCGGAAACCGCCCCCGAGCGGGACTGGCGCGGTGGACGCTCGTGACAGGCCGAAACCGCCCCCGAGCGAGACTGGCGCGGTGGACGCTCGTGACATGCGAAAACCGCCCGCGAGCGGACTGGCGCGGTGGACGCTCGTGACATGCGGAAACCGCCCCCGAGCGAGACTGCGGGGCGCGAGCGAGAGTGGACGCTCATGACGTGCGGAAACCGCCCGCGAGCGAGACTGGCGCGGTGGACGCTCGTGACAAGCGGAAACCGCCCCCGAGCGAGACGGGCGCGGGGGACGCTCGTGACAGGCCGAAACCGCCCCCGAGCGAGACTGGCGCGGGGGACGCTCGTGACAGGCGGAAACCGCCCCCGAGCGAGACGGGCGCGGGGGACGCTCGTGACAGGCGGAAACCGCCCTCAAGCGAGACGGGCGCGGGGGACGCTCGTGACAGGCGGAAACCGGCCTCGTGCGCCAGAATTGTCCTTTGTGCCGCACACCTGACCCGAACAAATGGTGCCGATGTGTTTCTAGGACGAACCCTCTCTTGTTCGCCGTACTTATTTGGAAGCAGCCTGGGTTTATGCTGAGCACACTCTGCCCAAACAAAAGGGCGCACGAACATCCGAACAGCTGACCCCGGTCTACGCAGATCGTGCTGACACTGTGTCTCAGACTTGTTACAGACAGGCGTCAGACCCACCAAGTGACCGAGGCTTGTCCACACCAAGCCCCCCGCACTTTTTGCCGCACACATGACCCGAACAAACGCCAATGTGTTTCTAGGACGAACCCTCTCTTGAGAAGCTGTGGCCTCTTGGGGTTCGCCCTACTTATTTGGAAGCCTGGAAGCAGGTTGACATGAATATGCTGAGCACACTCGGCCCAAACAAAAGGGCGCACGAACATCCGAACAGCTGACCCCGGTCTACGCGGATCGTGGTAACACTGTGTCTCAGACTTGTTTAGGACAGGCGTCAGACCACCAAGTGACCGAGGCTTGTCTACGCCGAGCCCCCCGCAAAAGCACAGCGCCGGCCCCCTCCCGCCCAACTTGCCATCCACATGCATCCAATTGACAACGTGCGCTGCTCTTTCCACAAAGTCAAGTTGCAATTGGTTGCGAATGGGAAAATAGGTGGAGCAACAAACGAATCCAAGCAAGCTTACGCAGCAGTTTGTGAAGGCCACGTGCGCGGCTCCATGTGAACAGCCCGGCGTTGCAGGTGCGCCAAAATTGTCCTTTTTGCCGCACACCTGACCCGAACAAAGGGTGCCGATGTGTTTCTAGGACGAACCCTGTCTTGAGAAGCTGTGGCCTCTTGGGGTTCGCCCTACTTATTTGGAAGCAGCCTGGAAGCACGTTGACATGAATATGCTACGCACACTCGGCCCAAACAAAAGGGCGCATGAACATCCGAACAGCTGACCCCGGTCTACGCAGATCGTGGTAACACTGTGTCTCAGACTTGTTTCGGACAGGCGTCAGACCC